CGCGCCGGCTGGGCCGCAACCACACGGTGGGCGCCACCGTGCTGCAGAGCCTGCTGCCCGGCACGGTCACGTTGCTGTACGGCGACGAGGTCTGCCTGATGGAGGCCGAGCCGCAGGAGAACCAGGTGAGGGATCGAGCCGCGGCAGGACCAGGTGAGGGGTCGAGCCGCAGGAGGACCAGGTGAGGGATCGAGCCGCAGGAGAACCAGGTGAAGGATCGAGCCGCGGCAGAACCAGGTGAGGGATCGAGCCGCAGGAGAATCAAGCGAGGGATCGAGCCGCAGGAGAACCAGGTGAGGTATCGAGCCGCAGGAGAACCAGGTGAAGGATCGAGCCGCAGGAGAACCAGGATCGAGCGGCAGGAGAACCATGTGAGGGATCGAGCCGCAGGAGGACCAGGTGAGGGATCGAGCCGCAGGAGAACCAGGTGAAGGATCGAGCCGCGGCAGAACCAGGTGAGGTATCGAGCCGCGGCAGAACCAGGTGAGGTATCGAGCCGCAGGAGAATCAGGTGAGGGATCGAGCCGCAGGAGAACCAGGTGAGGGATCGAGCCGCAGGAGAACCAGGTGAAGGATCGAGCCGCGGCAGAACCAGGTGAGGTATCGAGCCGCGGCAGAACCAGGTGAGGTATCGAGCCGCAGGAGAATCAGGTGAGGGATCGAGCCGCAGGAGAACCAGGTGAGGGATCGAGCCGCAGGAGAACCAGGTGAAGGATCGAGCCGCGGCAGAACCAGGTGAGGTATCGAGCCGCAGGAGAACCATGTGAGGGATCGAGCCGCAGGAGAACCAGGTGAGGGATCGAGCCGCAGGAGAACCAGGTGAAGGATCGAGCCGCGGCAGAACCAGGTGAGGTATCGAGCCGCAGGAGAACCATGTGAGGGATCGAGCCGCAGGAGAACCAGGTGAGGGATCGAGCCGCAGGAGAACCAGGTGAAGGATGGAGCCGCGGCAGAACCAGGTGAGGTATCGAGCCGCAGGAGAACCATGTGAGGGGTCGAGCCGCAGGAGAACCAGGTGAGGGATCGAGCCGCAGGAGAATCAGGTGAAGGATCGAGCCGCGGCAGAACCAGGTGAGGTATCGAGCCGCAGGAGAACCATGTGAGGGATCGAGCCGCAGGAGAACCAGGTGAGGGATCGAGCCGCAGGAGAACCAGGCGAAGGATCGAGCCGCGGCAGAACCAGGTGAGGTATCGAGCCGCAGGAGAACCATGTGAGGGATCGAGCCGCAGGAGAACCAGGTGAGGGATCGAGCCGCAGGAGAACCAGGTGAAGGATCGAGCCGCGGCAGAACCAGGTGAGGTATCGAGCCGCAGGAGAACCATGTGAGGGATCGAGCCGCAGGAGGACCAGGTGAGGGATCGAGCCGCAGGAGAATCAGGTGAGGGATCGAGCCGCAGGAGAACCAGGTGAGGTATCGAGCCGCAGGAGAACCAGGTGAAGGATCGAGCCGCAGGAGAACCAGGTGAGGGATCGAGCCGCAGGAGAACCAGGTGAGGTATCGAGCCGCAGGAGAACCAGGTGAAGGATCGAGCCGCAGGAGAACCAGGATCGAGCGGCAGGAGAACCATGTGAGGGATCGAGCCGCGGCAGGACCAGGTGAGGGGTCGAGCTGCAGGAAAACCAGGTGAGGGATCGAACTGCAAGAGAACCAGGTGAGGGATTGAGCCGCAGCAGAACCAGGTGAGGGATCGAGCCGCAGCAGAACCAGGTGAGGGATCGAGCCGCGGGAGAGCCAGGAGAAGGATCGAGCCGCAGGAGAACCAGGCGAGCCGTTGAGCCGCAAGAGAACCAGGCTGGGCCAGAGGGCAATCCGCAAAGCAAGAAGAGATACAGGTGCGGGAGAGCAAGGGGAGGGCGATTAACAGAACAATGTGAGAGGCCGAGACGCACAGTGGGATGGTGCTTATACGTAGACATATTTTGGAACCTTGCATCTGCTGCAGTCGTCAGCTGGAAATGGCTAGCGTTGGCTTGGTGTTGTTGACCGTCCTTCGGCAGACGCTGCCCGGGCTGGACATCATGCCCTGGTCGGATGACGTCATCATGGCCTGGTCGGATGACGTCATCATGCCCCAGCCCTGGCTTGATGTTGGCGCCCCTCCTTCGGCAGACGCTGCCCGGCCTGGGCATCATGCCCTGGTCGGATGACGTCACGTCGGCCGACTTCTCGCTGAGCTGGCGGCTGCCGTGGCGACCGCTGCCGGCAGACCACGCCCTCTTCAACGCCGCCAGCCAGCAGAACATCACCGTGCAGTCGGTCCGGCTGGCCCTGGGCGTGCACCGCTCGGCCGTGCCCGTCTACGTCAACGGCATATTCAACTCGATCGGAGACTTCAACCCACGCCGCTCGTCCAACCTCAAGGTGAGTTCCCCACAGGGGGGATGGGCGCACCGAGGAGGCCGTGTAATGGCTCGGCTTCCTAGCACAGCTGGCCGTCGCGCCCGTGTTAGTAACCAGTCCCGCATCACTACGGCGCGTGTTGACGTCTCTAAGCTTCGCGTAGTCATTGACCGTCACTGCGATATCGTCGTTGGTTGGTTTCATTCTGTAGTTTTCTACGTCGTGCTGCCGTCATTGATACTGATCACCTGGCTGTCTGGGGTTTAAATGGAGATCGTTTACGGGGTGGCCTGGCTGTCCAACGGGGCTGAGCTTGCGGCGCTGTCCGCCAGGTGCGCTACGTGGACGAGGCGGTGATCGTGCTGGACCGGTTCTACCCGCGCCAGCCGCGCTGGTGCGCCATCTTCAACACGGCCGAGCGGCCGGTGACACGGGACCTCAGCCACATCTTCTTCCGCGGCCTCGTCATGGCCAGCTCCACCGGCGACAAGCAGGGCTTCATCCGCTTCAAGGAGCTGCGCCTGGAGGCCGGCGAGGGCCTGCTGGTCAAGCTGGACCGCTGAGCGCCGCCGGGGGTCAACGGCGTGGGGAACCGAGCGCCGGCGCCGCCGGTCTGGCGGACAGGCCGGCCGCCGGCCACCTGCGGCTGGCGAGCAGCGCGGCCGCGTCTGTTCGCAGACGTGGGAGGCCTGGCGTCGAAGGCATCAGGCCTTTCCCTCCCCAAGAAGGCCTAACCCACCGAATCGATGGGCGCGCGTGTGATCACGTTTCGAGCCGTTCACCTCTGCTGAGTGTGCGTGTGTGTGTGTGGCTTACGTACAGCGGGAAGCGACATGGAGCGCATAGCGCCAGCAGAACATTCGCCAACGGCGCGCACTTGACTAGTCATGCCCACCGAGTTGGCGCCTGGCGCCCAAGCAGCACGGTATTGTTAGAACATCTTGTTTATTCTCGCATGTTGACGTTACATAACAAGCACGGCTCGCCAAGCCGGATACCAATACATCGGGTTTGCCTGGGCACCAGTGGGCGGCACCTCACACATGACGTTGGCAGGATTCCGCGAAACAGTCAATACCTGACACTCGCCTGCCATGACAGCGGCAGAGGTTAGAGCTATCACGACCCTGCACCGTATTTGATTAGACTTCTGTCCGACCAGACACTATCACTTCTCTTCTCGGGCCCAGGCAGGGGCCTCTTGGGCCCAGGGTCACCGCGCCGGACCCCGTCGCAGTGACCTCTATCACACGGTTCTGCCGGCTCAGCTGGACTTGAGCCGCGAGATCAGAAGCTAGCATTCCGCGCCGGCCTCGAAACAGGGGCCATCGAAACCGAACAATGCCGGCATTCGTTCCCGAGTGCCTGAGACCCGTCACACGCGGCGTTAATCACATGGGGACTGCAGCGCGGAGAGACGCTCCTTCGGGGTATTACGAGCCGAGGCGCTTAATAGTAAGGACACCATAACACACTGAGGCGATGACGAGACAGGGATGATGTGCGATCGATTTCACTCTGCCCCACACACTTGCGCACGGTGCGTGAATGACGGACGGCACGTGCGATAAATCAACAGTACGAGTCTGACTATATATCCTGTGCGCAACACGACCATTACTCACAGGGTTCGTACTCCCAGGAATGATATTCAGAAGGGGCAGACACACCACGTGCACATGACTGACAGTGTCCCTGGCCCAAGGGGCGCCCAAGAACACGGAGGGAGGGGGTACTGCCCACACACCCAGTATTCACAGCTAGATTATGGAACACGAGATAAAGTATACAACGGGCTGTTCTGCCGGGCGTGTACGGTAATGCACGCGAAAAATGATCGTCTATAAATCACATGCTACCCATGACGCATGCTCGCAACTTGAAGCGAGCCGCATCTTATTGGCGTGGAACCGACAAACATTTTTCCAAGATTTCCACCCTGCTCCATTGTCTCTCAAAGACGTGTCTAAGGGGCAACATGTCCCCTGCGTCCAGCTTCGTTTAACGTTCAACGTTTTCCCCAGCAACATTAAATGCAGGGACAGAACCTAACGCTGCGTTCGAGATTGCAATCCAAGAAGACAGGAACGAAACCTTCTATCTCACAATTTACAAGAGGTCCGGCCAGTCAGTAACATTGACAGGTGACTAAACACCACCTGGACTTCAGTCCGTATAATATCAGTCGTTTTTTCCATCACTCGCACCTACAGAGGGCGCCAGTCCAGGCTCAGGACTGCGGAATGCCACAGCTGCCGTGCCACGCACAAGTCCACCAGCTGCCGTGCACAGCGGAGGGGTCGGCTCAGCCGGCCCGGCGGAGGACGCGTCACGAGTCCGGTGCAAGGGTCAGACGGGCGGTCCCAGCGGAGCGAGGAGCGGCCAGCAGGTCACAGCAGCTGCAGACCCAGGGCGGTCCCAGCGGAGCGAGGAGCGGCCAGCAGGCCACAGCAGCTGCAGACCCAGGGCGGTCCCAGAGGAGCGAGGAGCGGCCAGCACGCCACAGCAGCTGCAGACCCAGGGCGGTCCCAGAGGAGCGAGGAGCGGCCAGCACGTCACAGCAGCTGCAGACCGAGCACACGGAGACAGGACAGACACACGGTGGGTGACCGGTCAGACAGCGGAGCCCGGGCGGGACAGACAAACGTCCCCCGCCGACACGGCAGCAGGCACCGGCAGGCACCATCCTCGTCCCCCGGCCGCCCGCGTCTCTGGAGCGCCGCCTCGGCCGTCGGCGGCGGCGCATCACGACCGCAGCTCGCCGAACTCTCGCCCAAACTTGACGTACTGCGCCAGCGCCTGCTCGTCCACCGAGCGTCTGATCCGCCGCAGTGAGTCGGTGAAGTCGTCGAGGCTGATGTGGCGCAGCTTTTTGGGGTCGATTCGCTTCACCTCCTCCTGGTCCATCTCTGTTGGAGGCGGGCCGGCACAGGTCAGGACCGGGTCGGCCAACGGCCGCTGCAGGAGCACCGCACACCTGACACTGGCACGGGGACGTCACGGCCAGCGCACTCTGGTAACACCACCCTACTGCTCACAAGACTCAGCCATGGGCTGGCAACAGCTGTGGTCGCGGGATGACGAGAATTCCGGGAAACTTCAGGAATGCCGCATACGTGTCTGCTGGCGACAAAATCAAACACAATTTCAGACTTTGTTTTAAAATAAAGCATATACATATCTCTCTACACATTTCGTCCACTCCCTTCAAATCGCCACAAGCTGCCAGCGCAATCGATAATGATATCGCCGATGATATCGGTGGCAGCGGCGGCGGGGCGGCCGGGGGACTATCGGTGCGCCACTCGCCTCTGATGGGGCCGAGCGCGGCGTCGCGAGCCAGCGCGGCGATGTCACTGGCCGAGTAGCCCTCCGTCTGCCGGCCCAGCGTCTGCAGCTGGCGCGCCGACAGCGGCTGGCCGTGCGCCGACAGCAGCCGGCCCAGCAGCGCCACGCGCGCCGCCTCGTCCGGCAGCGGGATGTAGATCCGCTTGGGGAAGCGGCGCAACACGGCCGTGTCCAGCTCCTGCGGCCTGTCGGCGGACGGCGGGCCCGGTCACGGCCCGCCCACACAGCCGCACACGGTCGGCCGGCCCAGCGGCGGGCCGACGCGCCCAACTGCCCGACCCGCCAACTGATGCGTGGTAACAACGTCTCCAATTACTCTGATTAAATACTGCACAATCCACAACCAACAAGGCTTAACATCAAGCCATAGCCTTCCACTGCGACAGCAGCCATGAGGTATAAGCCGAGTGCCCGGCAGCGCCACGGCCGCGCTCGGTGTTTCCACGTGCCTGTTTGTGGCGGCCAGCACGAGTATCTTTTCGTCAGGAGAGGTGGCCAGCCCGTCAAACTGGCAGAGGAACTCCGTCTTGAGCCGGCGCGAGGCGTCGTGCTCGCCCTCCCGCCGCTCGGACAGCAGTGAGTCCACCTCGTCCATGAAGATGATGGACGGCTGGAGCACGGCGCGGGGTTAGAGGCAGGAGCGTGGGCAGCCCCCCGCGGCTGCCGAGATGGCTCCCGCGGTCACCCCGACAGCACGCCGCGCGGGCAGCTCCCAGCCCCGCCGGCATCACACGGGCGGCTCCCGAGTCCCGCCACTGTCGCATAAGTCAGGCCGCCAGCTCCAGCCCCCCCCCCCCCCCCCCCCCACCCTCCCCTTCACGCAGAGGCATCCGGTCCCGCCACTGTCCTCGCACGAATGCGACGCTCCTTCCAGCGCCGTTTCGCAGGAGATCGCCGCTCCCACTGCTGTCCCACCAACGACCTCAGTCCCTGCCCTATCGTAAGGCCGGGCCTTCCGCACCAACAGCGGTGGCAGCGGCCGGACCTGACTCCCAGCGGCCCCTCACGATCGCAGCCCTGAGTCCCGCCACAGTAGCAGAGCCGCAGCCCTCGCACCCGCCCCAGCCGTCACCGCACCTGCAGCTGCTTGGCGATGGCGAACAGCGCCCGCACCAGCTTCTCGCCCTCGCCATGCCACTTGCTGGTCAGGCTGGAGGCGCTGATGGAGAAGAAGGTGACGGACGCCTCGTTGGCCAGCGCCCGGGCCAGCATCGTCTTCCCGTTGCCTGAGAAAGTGGCACAGCAATATGCACCAACACGGCCAGCGGAGATCCTGACCTGCTGAGATACTGACACACCGACCTACGGGACCACGACTGCGATACTCCTGGCTCGGAACGTGAACATTTGGGGAACGGCTATTCCTGCCAATATAATATGCCAGCATGTGATTGATGAGGTCACAGCAAAAAAGAATGTTAATGGAAAGCTATTCAGGATATGCTTGAACTAGACGAAGCCAATTTATCAACGATCGATCAACCTTACCTTGAATATCCCCGTCCCTCTCAGGAATCGACAGATCTGGCCACGCAAGGGGACACAGACCCCGACCAGGGACCCACCCACGAGCCGGAAAAGGGTCCCACGGGGGCCACCGTGGCCGGCCTGGCTCCCACGCGGCGGGTGACTGTGCCTGTCTCGGGCCATTCCGTCCGAGCCGGCTGGCGCCCGAGGCCGCAGAGTCTACCAGGCTGGCGTCAGGGACTGGCCGCCAGCGACTGGTCGCCAGGGGCTGACTGTCAGGGGCCGGCCGTCAGGGGCTAACCGTCAGGGGCCGGCCATCAGGGGATAACCGCCAGCCCGCCGGTCACCACCGCGTCTCACCTGGCGGTCCGAACAGCAGCAGCCCGCGGGCCGGCGCGCGCAGACCGGTGAACAGCTCGGGCCGCACCGACGGCAGGATCACCAGCTCGTGCAGCGCCCGCTTCGCCGACTGTCAACAGGGAAACACTGTCAGTCGACCAGCGCCGGCCATCCGCCGCCGTGGCCAGTCAGCAAACCACGCGGATTCGTCCATCGGCGAAGACAAGTCAGGACGATCGTCAGTTAAGATGGGGCACGTTGACCTCAGCCGGAGCGGCGAGGCTAGAAGGTTGTCAACGAGCTTCAACGAAACATACTGCCAACAACTGTCGGCTCAGGCAAGACCAGAATAATCACCCGGCCATCAACTGAGCCAAGCCAGACATCAACCATCCGATCTAAGTACGGTAAGGCTGCATGCATTGATTGACGCCGACTCAGATGGTTTGAGACGGCATGGCCATTGATGGCGAATCCGATCATTGATCACCGGGCTCAGGGCCCCACCCAGCGGACCGGGACGGCACATCCGCCGGCCGATCCCCGCCACGACCGTTGGTATCGATGTTTCTCGACATGCCACGACCTGCCGTCAGTGAATGAGCGAACGTAACCTGCAGGGCCATGTCGACAATACCGACCATGCTCAGCCCACTGTACCCTCGACGGCCCTGTCTACTACACCGAGCCTGCTCTGCACCCTGCACGGCCCTGTCGTCTATACGGAGCCCAGCGCACGGCCGGCCGCCCACCTCGTTGCCGGCGATGTCGTCGAGCGTCACCACCGGGCCGGCGTCGATGATCTCGTCCAGGATGACCTGGGCCAGCTTGGGGTCGACGCCCTTGAGGCCGGACGTCGAGGTGGGCCGCCGCGCGGTGCCCGGCGCCGCGCGGGCCGGACCAGGCGCAGACGGCGAGGCGCGCTGTTGACACGGACAGTCGCCGCTGTAGCCGTCAATACGACCGGCGCCAGGTGGGCAGGACGCGGCAGACGCTCCGCTGCCGGCGCAGGGCGCAGCGGGCTGCGCCAACAGCAGTGTCGGCTGCCGCGCACGACCATCTGCTGGCGACTTACACCAACGACGCAGGTAGCTGTCCTCGCAACGGCGCCGACTTTCGCCAGCGGTTCGGAGGCGCTGATAGCCAGAGATATCTAAGATGAGCCTTAGTTAATCGCAGATGTCCAAAAACCACGCAAGAAGAATTCTGTGTGGAATGACTACAGCAGATGTGGTTACCATATATCCACAGATCTCACACTGATGACATGCCTGCCGAAGCCCGATGACTGGGAATATTTATGTAGGTCCGTTCGGCCCCTCCGTTCGAACCTCCGTGAGGAACAATACATACCCTTCCAGGCAGCGGTCGGGCGGACGGGACGGAGGGCGACACCTTTCGGCGACCCGCAGCAGCTGGCTTTCCGCCGCCAGATGTCAGAGCAGTCGGTCGTCGTGAAGGTACCGATCCCGGCGTTATCTTCCTCGCAGAACTTACAGGCTCTGCAGTCCGCGGCAGTGCAGAGACAAAGAAAACAGTAGATCATTGCGCATAAATATTCTCTTCGTACACCATTCATCCGAGAAAGTTACGTGTCAACGGGTTGCTTTTCGGGAGGCGTCGCAAATAGGAGGCACTTTTTACATGAGGCAAAAATCAACGTTTTGAAACGAAAATTAAATATGTTGTTGATAATCTGTATCCCCGTATTATACCACATCACACTCACGTATGCACGCACGCACACACCCAAGCACGCATGCACGCACGTATGCACGCACGTACACGCACTAACACACATGTGCATGCCATACAATAAATGTGCATCTGCGAGCAACCACATGCCGCTGGCATGCCTGTGTCAGACAGCACACATCGCAGGCAACAACAGGTCACATTCAGCACGATGCAGGCCGTCAGCAGTGTGGCCCGAGTCGGCCGTCAGCAGTGTGGCCCGAGTCGACCGTCGGCAGTGTGGCCCGAGTCGGCCGTCAGCAGTGCGGACTGTCCCCTCCCCCCTGGCCAGCGGTCAGCGCCGGCAGCGTACCGTCGGGCGCGGCCGGGCTGGACTGGCGTGGCGCCGGGCCACCGCCGCCGCCGCCGCCGCCGGTGCGCCGGGCCGCGGCCGGACGCCGCGCCGCCGCGCTCGCCGCCGGCTCCACGTGGCGCCCCTCCAGCGTCAGCATGCGCTCTGATTGGCGGACAGGGGCGGACCGGAGCCGCGGTCAGCGAGGGAGGCAAACTAGCGAAGGAGGCGGACTGGCGAGGGAGGCTCATTCGCGACGGCCGGGCGTGCCGTGCAGGTTTGAGGCGCTTCATTAGAGCGGAGGGCAGCAGGATATACGACTTACCGTCGGTGCTCGACAGGTGACGCTCTGCAAGTGATCCGCGCGTCAGTTGTGATAAGGAAGTGCATGCATTCCATGACATTCAATGGAGCATTTAACTGCATGTAAGCGCAGGATTGACGGGTCCATGATGGTAAACCAACGAGACGCGGCCGGATCAGATAATACAGCAGGGTTTTCACCTATCGAACATTCACCGCGAGATACCCAACATTCATCTCCGAAAAACCGCAGATATCTGGCCCTACACGCACCACCACTACCACTACCACTAAGAGCCGTGGAATGACCCGCACCGCCGAACTCTGCCTCCTCAAGAACCGCACTCCCGCCGCCGTCACGACACAGCGCTGACGGCTGGTTTCCACCGCTGGCGGTAGACCGGCGCCCAACTCACCGAGGAAGCCCAGCCGGTCGGAGGCCACGGCTAGGTTGGTCTGCATCTTGGCCTGGAGGCGCTGGGCGCGACGGCGGTCCTCGCCGCGACCCGAGCAGTCCACCGCGATGCCCCGCTCCAGCTCCGCGATACCCAGACGGTACAGCTGCACCGCCTCCGCGCGGTTGCCTGCCAAAAGGCCAGCAACTTTGGTTGCCAGCGCCAAACCCCAGCCATGACACCAGATGCACAAGCCTGACTATGTCCAATGGGAAGGCGATATGGCTGCTGTTTGCTGCTCCACACGGGGCATTGTTATGCACACATGCGTGTGGATCACAGCAGGGAATCCCAATTCTTTAAGAAAATTGCAAAATAGATTCTGAAAAAGTCCTTCAGCCAAATTTCCAAGATTCTGGCTTTCACAGGATTACTTTTTTATAAATTTGATCCAAACCCTTTGAATGTGTGGATTTCTGGGATCAGCGCTCACGCTAAGCAGTGCTTGTATTGTGAGCCCTAAGCCCCACCATCCGATCGCGCAATCCCAGGCAACGGCAGAATTTAGTGGCGAAAGCTTAACGTGCCGCAATGCTCGGCACGGTCCGTCCTGCCCTCTGACGTCACCTGACCTTTAGCGCGACCGCTGCCACCGGCCGCAGGCCATACCTGTCAAGGGCAAATAGCGAGCGCCCTAAAGCGATTCGAACCCACCCCGCCACGGGTCGGTGGATCGGAAGGCAGGCGCCCTAATCAACTGAGCCACCGGGACGGACCCTGAACCACCGGGACGGACTACTTAACCACCTTCTCTAAAAGATTCTATGTGCAGTAAACCTGTTGGCAAAACACGCAACAGCATCTTGGACTCCACACGCCGCACTTTCGAAGCAAAAGGGAACTGGATCCAGGATTCAAGGGTAAGGTCAGCACGCAGGTTCCAAACTCACAGTACTTGGCACACAAGTCAGGCAGCAGTCTAGACTACATCACTCATGAAAATCTTGAATCTTGCTTGCTAATGTCAGCCTATTATATAGTTTCAAATCATCTGGATTGGATTATAGTAAAGGCGCAAACCTACGAGTATCGTCCTCATGTAGCGTGTGCCTAATCTCACATCTCAGTGTTGTTCTACTGATGCTGCCCCATGTGCTGTCACAAGCTACACTGCCACTTGTGCCTATCCTTATCCCGGGCACTTCATTTCCTCAATTGGAGAGCAATGTTTGCATGGAGAAAATTCAGAAAGTCGCCATCTTTCATCCTCAAGTCAAACTGCTTCTCCCTACAAGTTTGACAAAAGCTAACATAAGGCCTATGTGGTATGCCAAGTATCTGTGATCCACGGATAGTCTGGGCCCCGTGGTCCGAACGAGTTCGGTCTGGTGTGCAGTGCAAAGATAAGCTGAAAACATGATGAGGTCAAATACCCCACCCAAAGGCAAAAGGCTTAAGTGTTGTGTTAACTAATGCCTCTTAGGCTTTTTTGCCTTTTGATGGCAGAAATGGCATTCAGACTGATCATAGAATAAACATACATGGGCATGGCGCAGCAAAATCAAAATGCAGGAGAGAACTTTGCAAAATGGTAAAACAAGAACAAGCAAAATAAAGAAGAAAGGGCAGTCTGTTGATATTGTCCGGTGATCTTTATGCTACACTAGTAGAGCCAGATACATTAGGCAGCCCATACCAATGGGGTTGATCAATACACTGGAAAGATGCTTCCATGAGAGTGGGACAGGCAGTCTTCAGGATGTAGGCTTTCTGCAGTGATTCAATAGATTGCTTGAAAATTGTTTGGCTTTAAGTATGGTCAAGCTAGGTAATTCCAGTATACAATAGTGATAGATTCACAATGCTTTACAGTTTTGGCAATTGTCATGTCAGCCTGGAGATGTGTATGTGTGTGGCTGGGGGCTCTTCTGCACAAACCGCTTTGGCCATTGTCCAATAATTACCATGAGCCTTAGATCACAAAATTATGAGCTTCATAGTGTTGATCTCAATTTAAAATGCACTACCCTTAACTGTCACAGAGCCATATTTTGCTGAAAGGAAGCCCTAATTGGGAAAGGTAGCCATGTCAGGTATGAGACACCACTATGTTACTGTAGCTGGTGGTAGGTGCCTTGTTTTGAACCTGGGGGAACCATTTTAGGCTCAGGATCTCATTGCTATGCTCCCAGGGTCTGGTTTTGATGTTTTAAAAGCCAAGTAATCTTAACATGCCAAACAAGACAGGGATCTTTGTTTCCAGGCTTGCTCAAGCCCTTTCAGGGGGCAGGGCACATGGCTTCAGAAGCCTCTTCCCATTGGCTACACCATCAACCATCATGTTGTTGAAATGCCTGTTTCCCAGAAATGTACTTTACAACTTACAATAAGTGAACCTGCATATGTTTGATGAGTGGTTTATTGTGTGAATAGTTGAAGCCACTCATCATATCTTATTTACATGCATACCAACCACTGCAAAGGTTATTGCCTAAATTGACAAAAACTAGTTCTGCACAAGTCACCTCATTTAAAAAAAAAAACACTGTCATTAATCAGAAAACAGGGATATTGTATCATCTTATCTCCCCAAATCATAATTATGATCATATAGTGACAATGGTGAACAGACATGCACATGGTGTATAGACATTGTAAATAGTATTCAAAGTATCAAACATGATATAAGGTACATGATCCCTCTGCTCAAATGCCTGACATCATGGCATACAAAGCTATACAGGCTGTACAGACAGATGTAGATGTGTGGTGTGATGTGTGCACCTGCAATTGGTTAAGGTATTTAGGCATTGCACTGCATGGTACTATTTGGCATACACCTTGTAGTAAATATTGCATATTCTGTTGAGGTTACATTTTTCAAATGATTCCTCTCATCACCATGACATCAAACAAATGGATGATGGGAGTGTCAAAACTGATCATGTCAATACTGGTGCCCCATGGGCAAGTAGGCATAGTTTGGGTGTTCATTGGTCAATCAAAATGCTAAATATAATATGTGTATTGTCCTCAAGATTGGACCTGGGCCTTGTGCCCCAACCACTGTTACATTAAGAAATGCTATTTTTTGCTAGCACAGTCTCATGCCCAGATGACCAGCCAGGAGGTGATCATTCAAGTACAAACAGACAATCAGCCAAAAGCCATCAACATTTTCATCTCTCATAACTGAGAAAAATTAACATCACCTGGTGTGCCATGGCCAATTACTGCAGTGATGGTGTAAGTTAGTTTAAGAGCACAGGGTGGTAGGTGTAAGGGTAAGCATAGGAGTACTAATCCTATCTTATCATAATAGCCAGCTGGGCTGCGTGCCTGCCCTCTAGCCCACTCACCCGTGGCAGGGTGGGTCCAAGTCGCTTTTGACGCTATTTATTGTTCTTCACAGCCATGGGACATGACTATCAGTAGCAGCAAAGGTCCGGTGATATCAGAGGAGAGAGCAGGACAGACCATGCTTTACATTGCAGCATGTTAACCTTAGAACACTAAATTCTGCTTTTGACCTGTATTTTGATGATTGCATGGTAGGGTCCTGTCTCACATAACAAGCACTACTTAATGTGAGTCCTGACCTTAGAAATACATCCAATCAAAAGGTTCATATTCAATCTTAACTAAAATAGATGCAGGAGGAGGTGTAGAAACAGGGTAAGGGCTAAGTTAGGTTAGACTGAGCTACGTTAGGTCACTCCTATAATCTACTTATTTGATTTCCCAGCGACGCTACAAATAATTTGAAAGGCAACCTCAAATGCACATTCACTTCATCCTTATCATTGATTTCCCTGAACTGCTAGGTGATAGCTGCTTGCAGTGGCTGCATGGTATCAATCATGAATGTCATTTTTTGCCTCTCATATTGAACATAGCAGATAACACATGTAACCTGTTTCCTTCATTACATAGTTATTTCATTACATCCCAAATTTACCTTATAGGGAATAATTGTAACCATAACCTGCATGTCCATCATAAAAAACTTTACTAGTATATGATGATTACTGCAATATACTGCACCCCAACAATATATTGTATTTTGACCACACAGTTTTTTAACATGTCAGGGGTAGCAGCAATATTCTGGCAATAGCTTCAGCACATGTGTACTATAAATATGCGACTTTAACTTTTGTGCACAGCCACCACCAAGCTTCGAACATGACAGCCATGTTGCCAGGAATCATAATAATGAAAACATAATCTGTTGCCAATACTTTACAACAAAAAAATGATGCACACGTGACTTCAAATTTCAGTGATATTCAGCCTGGCATGTGTTCTGCATAGATAAGCACAGGGTTCAGCACACACATGTCACATAGAAATCTAGAGCAAAGGATGGATTCCTTGCTGATTGGTACCGTGGTACCTGGTTATCAGCATCCTTAACATATTAAATGATCATAACTTCTGCACTACGTGTGAGCTACCAGATATTGACTATAGCACCTACCAGTCTTATTTTCTTCATCAAGCTTCAATGCCCGTCCAATCAATTCAAATGCCCTTTTGCTATGTAGCTTCTGTTTGGCCAGCTGCGGCTCAGTAAAGCCTGCGTCAGATAGGTAATTTGCATTGTCCATGCCAAAGGACAGGTGGAAAATTTAATCCCATAGAAATGAGGAGCACAGAGCGGCCAGAAGTAGCTACAACAATAATATGACCCGTGCGAGAAACAAGAACAGACAGCCAACGGACATCTCAGCGCACTCGGGGACTCTCCCCCAACGAATCCGTGCTGCGGCCAAGAACCCCCACCCCCATCTAAGAGGGGTAAAACCGTCCGGTGATTCTCGCTTCATCTTTGCCCAACGGTAGTATGACGTCACTGATCTACGCGACCTTGAGGTGCGCGGGGCCGCGGGGTGTTGGACGTAATGCTTAGGGGCAACCGGAGCATGCCAATATTAAAGCAATGATATGGAGTGAAAACAATTATTGGGCAATGAAGTGAAACAAAAAAGGGAATGAAATTAAACTTGTAAGCGGTGAAGTGAAACAAAAATGAAATTGAAAGAATGAAATGACAATGCAAAATGAAACTGCCGTGCATGAAAAAGCCATTCATGGAAAGTGCACATGCCCAGCGAGCCGATGACATCTAATTTTATGTGGAGCATGATGGTGCGCTTTGCGAGCCCATGCGGTACGCCATAACAAGGCACTGGCCTGAAAATTGAAGACAAACACAAGAGACTCGCGGCTGGCTGTATTTTGGCATCGGCCACCACTTGTTTAGCGTTGCGTTTTTGTCTTTCATCAAATTGTGAGTATTTCTTGTTTATTCCAACTTGCCGTAACACTGCTCTAATCAGCCCCGTAAAAGCTAGATCATTTTGATGACTTTTTCCAGTCAAAGCTCATGGGCCCCGGGCTAAATTTTATTAATTTCAACAGCTTACTGAACATGAGGTCGCAAAACACATACTCCTGTTTGCCCTTTTAATTTCCTGACTAATTAACCAATATATGCGGGATGCACACACCATTAATAGTTTATACTTGTCACATGTAAGAGCGTTGCCCATTACTTAGGCTTCTTATCTCCCAAAGTCCGCACGGGGACTTTTTCGCTTTTCATGGCAATTGCATTTTAACCGCTATGCTATAAACTTGCAATAAGGGCACCACCATACTGCCCATTAAATTATACACATTGGGTCCCCTATCTACATGCGCCTGTTCCAGCGGTTTATTAATTATTGGTGCGAAGGCAGTTAGCGGCATGGACATAAAAAAACAGATCGTCATACTTTCCAGAAGATTGTTTGTAGTTGGCTAGCTGGTCATATGCACCTCCCGCTAACAGAGTGCTCATTATCTGTACGAGGATTTCTGATGTTTCGGCTGCCCCGCAACGTTATGCCCCACGGCCTGCAGCCGGATCGCATTGAAGCCTTAGCATCAGTGACGTCATCGCTCTGTAGAAAGTTTGCGAAACCCCGACTTATGACAAAGCCCAAACTCAGCATGCCCGAGGTTGCAGCCCAAATCGCGATCGACGACGTGACAGTCTGCACGTGCTGTGCAGTAACGCGCGATTGAAGTCATGATGATAGAAAAGAACGCATTCAGTCATAAACGAAGAACTTGAAATTCGATATTAATCAGCGAAATCTGTGACGAAAACCCTTATAATGAAACGACATCATTTAAGTGTCGGTAAACATATTTATGGGCCAACAGATCGGCCTGCCCGTTGACCGAGCTACGGACCGGTTGTTGCCGCAGACCCGTTGTCAGGCCAAGTGGGTCTGCTGGGTCTTCAGTAAACCTACAAACTGATTGGCCGGCAGGTCCGCTAGCAGAACTATGGAACAGCTGACAGGCAGAATCGCTGGGAGACCTATAGGCCAACTGACTGGCAGGCTCGCTGGCAAATTTACAGACCGACGCACAACCGAGAGGCAGACTGATGAACCGCGATCAAACAGCCAGCGCTAGGTTGTTCCAGGATCGACACGGTCAGCGCTGCACACGACGAAACAGCTTGCCCGATCTTCACTGCTTGTTCAGTCCAGGACTCAATTGAAGCAATATGCGCCACATAGAGTGCGGTATACTCAAGGAGCCCATGAAAGGCTGCTGGCGCCCTATCCGAAAACTTATTCGCCATCACTGGCTGATAGACATGACGACTAACCGTTGGAATCACTGTTTTATCCTACTCTGCGTGCATTTCAAACTTGACACCAAATCAGGCCGCTGTCTGATAACGCTGGCAAGAGAAGAGATGCAGGATGTTTTGTGGTACGAAATAAGCGCAATGCTGGGTTATGTGTTCAGATACATGCACAAACAGTTCAGGATAACTCGCGATTGCGTCCTTGGCTTGGTGTTTTTATTTTGTCCACAAGCATCGGGGGACTCAGAGGGGCATGGAGCTGAAATTAGCGTCTGTGGGCTCGGGCCTTACAATAGTATACCAAGTGACGTCCCCGATTACCTATGTGCCGGCTCGGGTCTCAAATGTGTGCGCCTCGCAGTGAATGTATTCATATATCACGTTCAATCTTAGCAAATGGGTCAGTGACCTTTCAACAGTGCCCTTACACCCATGCGACCGTCATTGCAAGGCGTCATGCCAATGGTCCATTGAAAATAGCGTCACCCCCGTCCGGTATTCAGCTCAGTACGATGGCGTCACCAACTGCTGGAGGTCCATGCGTCGCACTACCGGCCAGTTGCGGCCACAACAGCACCAGGCGCGCATTATCAACACCTTTGTTGCTACCCGTTTCCACGGCAACCCCCTGGTCCTGTGTCCTCCACCGGCGCGGTGTGTGAGAAGCCTTGCCGCGTACAAATGAACGGATTGCTCAGACGTCCGTTAAAGAGCTGGTGTGGCCGTGAGCCAGAGCCGGCTGGGCGCACAGGTTCGGCCGCGCCGGGACCGCCACCTCAGACCGGCTCGGTGCCGGGGCCCGCGGCCGGCGCGCCCCGGTTTCGTGAGGCAGCTGCCCCGCGCGCCACCGTTCGATGCATCGATTAGCGGCGCCCGGCCGGCGTGCCGCTGGGGACCGTCGCAGACGGTCCAGGCACGTGCGGATGGCATGTTCGGTGCGGCGATCCTGCTGACGGCGCTGCTGGCCGCCCAGGCCGACGGCAAGGTGGTGAGGGGCCATCTCAGCACCAGAGAGGTACGCTGCCGCGCGCTGGTGGCGTCGCGCGACGGCCCACCCACGCAGCTGTTCGGGCGCGGGATCCGAATCAGGGAAGTGCAATATTTCACAGCAGCGTGCTTTTTACGAACTGAGGATTGAGGACGTGATTTCTGCTGCATGACGGGGCGGGGGGGGGGGGGGGCGGCGGGTCCAAAGATTTTGACGGGCTTGCATGGAAAAACGTCAGTAAAGACTGCGATGTTGCTGTGAAGTTCTCGCCCGTGTCAGGGCCAATGATTGAAGCCACGGGGTAATGAGAAAACTAGTTATGGTTCGCTGTGGTGTGGTTCTAGCTCGTTGGAAAACGCGACAAATGCATAACGAACAGCTGCGACGATGTGGACAGAACGAAAGCCGAGCTTTCTCCACTTTTGCACCGCAAGGCTCCTGCCCAGTTGTGGTGCGTAGTTGGATTTACAGACGGACTTTGGAGATGTTCGGCTTTTGCTGAATGCCCACATCGAGACCCGGATGGGACAGTCTGAGACGGTTCACGCCCGTGGGTTAAGGCTGATACTGCCGTCTGTTACCGCGGCGGCCGAGTTAAGCACCCGTGGTTGTGTAATACTTGTGACATGCGATCAAATAGCAGCCATGTTAATACTCCCGCACGCTCTCGTTCAGACAGGCCAAATTAATATCAAAAGCAGCATCAAAATGAAGCCATAGGATAATAGCCATAGAATACTGCCACCCAATGCGGTATAGCCATGGATACTTTTCATCCAAGCGAGAGAAATATTGCGCGGGCCATTTTGAATCAATATTGGCGCACGGATTGAGCGGGATCCATGCGCGTGAATCGAGCCGCTGCACGGCTGCGCGGCGCGCCGAACGCTAAGGCACGGGCCCCTCCCCCCCTGCTAGTATTGCCACTCGTCAGATCATCACTTTTCTACCTCACAAACGGGCTGGTGTGGCATGCATTCTTAGGCTATCTACGTGAAGTCCTCGAAGGCAGGTGTTCCAGCCTACAACATGCATTAGAGTAATCGGTTATTCTGGCCTCTACACGACGAGAGCTTTCGGGGTTGCATTTAGTATGATCAGCTGCATTAACAGCATTCATCTATATTTAGTAGTACATGCAGAATACATATCTATAATCGGCGCGATTTTGTGCCATTGAGAATGTTTCGTAATGCTGATAAGCCCCTGGTGTAGCCGCTTGGGGCCGATGGATGGAAACACGTGGCTGAAAGGTCGGTGGGGCCAAACTTCGTGTGCAAAGACCTTGCATTGGAAAATAGAGACAACTGACAAAAACTTTACCCATCGTGCGTCGGAAGCAGATGCAGCAACACGGTAGACATGGTCTGACTCAAAACTATTTGGAATTTGTGTATGTTGTGCGGGACAAAATAAATACCATCTTAGGATCTGCGACCATGAACGGTTAATTTAAAGATGGTAATCGCACGTAGCGTACTAATAACCGCATTTTAGCAGTCTACTAGCGGATTGCTACATTCCCTTCTATCCACAAGCGGAAATGTGAGAGGCCGCGAAAGGACGCCCTTGATTGACGCGGTCGAAGGGCTGCTAATGCCCCTTTTTGAGCTAATCCTGTCATTCGTTCTGATCTCGTCGCATGCTGTTATGTCCGCTATCAGCCGTTGGCGCCGCGACTGGCGATCTGTTCCATTATGCATGGCAGGACGGGGGTAATTTGGTGCTGCTGGATGACAATCTGGTGGAATGTATGATGTACTTCCAAGCATAATGCAAGTATTGCTTCCAAACACCATCCAGCGACATCAATATTATTATTGCAATCATGCACGCAAATTATATCGTAACAGTCAAAATTGAGCACCCTCCTACGTTCATGATATAGGCGTCGTCGGCGAATGCCATACTGGTACGTAACACCTAGGGCTGGGAGTGAATAGATAGTAGGGCAGACATATCTTCATCGACCCAACCGACTTCCAACCGAGTGACAAAGAAGTGCGGCTTGTGTACGTTAAGCCCAGCGTATCCGTCACTAAGGTGCAGGGGTCGCTGGAGTCCACATGCAAACTCACAACAGATGCTGAACAAAACACAGTTTGCTTTCAACACGCCGGTCGCCCACCCAGGTAAATACCCTCAATGCCTGACATCGTTTCCGCTGATGAATCAACGCCTAGCTTCAATAGCGAGACAAAGGTCCTCAAAATCAGCTTATTTAGGTTAAGCGCGCGAAAGTGGCCGGTTATACTTTGAAGGGTCGCTCGCGCCCAGCGGGCTGGATGCAGAATCTGCTGCAGATTCTGACGCAGTCAGCTGTTGCAGGCTAGATGCGCCACATTCAAGCCTGTAAACCCACAAAGCGCAGATAAAAAACGCGGAAAGTGTAAAGCGCAGATAGAGCGATCTCTGAATCGATACCACTAGACCGCAGCAGATGGTCTGCAGAACGCGCTGCAGGCCCTACGGTCGTCATGTTTTCAGGATTAGAGAGATTCCACCTTAACGCTTTTTCACCTGCGGTTTGTGGGCCTATAGGCTTAAACGCGTCGCCTCTAGCACGCAACAACGGATTCTGTGGCTGGTTCGGAAGGCATGAACCGGGGTTAACGCTCCATTCATGTTCATTTCAACAGAGGAGGTAAAGGGCAGATTGAGTGTTTGTGGCGCTCCAGCGACTCGATTTTCAGTCGCGCGGGCTCATAGGTGGGATCCGTGAATCCGTGAATCCGTCGCATGGCTTCGTATTCGAAAACGTCGCACGCAATGCTGATGTCGCAAATCTTCGTATAATTTTCTTTTGTACGCAATTCTTCGCAAACGGGAAACTTTCTACTGAATGTGCGTAACGCTACTTCGTATCCACAAAATTTCTCTGGAGCAATTTTTCGCATTTCATATCTTTGAATGCGCATATGTTTGTATTTCCGTCATTTGTATTTGCTACCAATCGTCTACGCAGCTCTTTCTATCGCATTTATTCGCATCGCAATTCGTCGCATTCAGCCGTATGCACTTTATATACTTTCGGGGGAGGTCTGAGCCTCAGTACTGACCTGAGCCCCCCTCCCCATGCCCTTTTGAGCTTCCTCAATGCATATGAGCAAAGAGGGAATGTTGTGTCCAAATAAATGCAGACATTGTTCGTAACCATTCGTATACTAGATGCCTAAAAACATCATGATTAGCATCATGCTCTTTTGTGCCAAATATCATCCTGTGGTTAATGGAAAATGCTTCATACATCAAACTATGTAAGTATATATATATATATATATATATATATATATGTGTGTGTGTGTGTTTATACATATATATCTATATATTTATATATACATGAGGTACATATTTGCAAAACTGCGTTGCACTTTTCAGTTGCTTTTTTAGATGTTGGTTTAAGTGCAATGCTTTGCATCTAAATGCTGTAAGTATTCGTTCAAGCCTGCATTAGCGATCCGCACTGCACTTCGCACTGCTTGGGGACTCCTCTTTTCGAGCCCTGCAAACGCCTCTGTCATGGAACTTTGCTAGATTACTGAAGTTGCATGTTCATATTGCAACAAGTTTGGTTACTGGAATCATCGGTTATTCTTGTATCCCCAAGATATTGAATATCATACTAGGAAGATCACGACATCTGCATACCTTTTAAACTTCACTGGAGGTTTCTGCCGCTACCGGGCCGTATAATTGCCTCCGCGCGTGCCACGTACCCAAAATTTGGACACCATACGTAACAGTATAATCGGGAACCAAACCGTTTCATAAAAACAACAAAAGCCGCAAGGATTGCATTTTCCCCTGCCGGAAAGAGGTTCATAAGCGATCCGTGCGTACACATATTATTTGCCGGTCGATCAGAACACTGCGTTGACACATGCCATTCGTTTTCAGCAATGGGCCTTCCTCACACGGTTCTGTTTCCTCTCTGGAGAGGGGATGTTCACCTACGAAGTGGAATACGAATCGGTAAGAGCGCCGGGAACGCTATCGCTCCGCACCTAGATCGCCTTCCACATGGTGGAGCCACGGGCAGAAAGGGGGGGGGGGGGGGGCTACATGAAGCCAATAAAAGATGTGACTGTCTCCTGCAATTTTACCCTCCACAGCCATGCTGTATCACGTTTTCCCAAGGAATATGACACCTTCAGTTCAGTGTGTATTCCACGTCCTAGTTTGACTCCCCCAAACCCGATTTGACCATTAAATCTCGGAGATCTGGTCACACCGACACTCCCTTACGCAGCAATGGGAGCGGGAGCGTGCCTGTTTGAACACCTCTATTGGTTGCGGGGGTGAGGCTAACGTCCGCGCGCCAGAACCGGACTAGTGAGGTACCATGCACTCGCTGGTCCAGAGCCTCAACCTGGGACACTGTCTAGTGTGTCAGACATGCGTGTCCGGACCTCTAATACGCCTGCCTCTGGTGCCCGTAATGGTTATTGATGCTCCCTGGACCAATGCATTCACCAGCAAAAAAAAAACGCTCAGTTTATGTGGCAATCATGGATCATGTCATACGCACAGTAATAATCATTACGACAGGTTGAGCCTTTAGCTAATGCTAGCAGGCACAAAAGAACACTCGCAAACTGAGCCACTTCAGGAGGCCGTTATCGTTGTTACTTACGTTTTGCACCTGCTTTTTACAGAAATATGCCGTGCAGAAGCTGCTACTCTACTATGATACAGAAGACCAGTGGCCGGCCGTCTACAAGAGCGGCAAGGTAAATTACCTGCTGAGGTCCGGTGAATGGGTGCGAGCACCGCCGCCTTTGTCACAACGTTCAGCCGCATGCGCGACTGTCTCTGTCGAAACGCCACCTGGCATGCAGTGTTGGCAAAATGTTACATGCAGTTGGTGATGACCGGTATATGCCGTTAATAGTTTATGACCCATTGAAAAGTTATCCAGTCGTAATTTGCAAATGGGGAGTTAAAAAGCCGTGTCCACAGCTGTGCTCGCTGTTGAAGTTTGGTGCGAACCTACGCCATTATAACTTAAGGCTTGAATCAAGGAGGCATTTTCAGTGTTATGCATCATATAACATCAACACTCCGCGTGAATATAACCTGGACATTTACTCTCATTCGAAACGTAATTCCTCGACTTTTTCTGATATTCACCTTCCGAAATTTGTGGCGTACACCATCACATTGACAGAGATGCATCGCGCTGGGGACTTCGTTGCACAGTTGCTCTGCTCCAGCTCAATTCGCCAGTCTTTGCGGCTGCCATCCGTGGTCTCTCTGCTCCCCTGGCCGTGTGGGTGCGGCGTGTGCACCGCGGGGTGTTCACCTTGCCAGCCTGGGATTTATTTGAGCAGTTATGGTAGGTCGCTTTTGGGTTGTTCATTGGAAAAACCGGGGTTAATAACGACCGGGCTCTGCCAGTGTCCCCGCGACTTGGCGATCTATATTTTTGCAACCCGACTCAAATTGGTGCCAGACTTGTTCTTTTCAAATAGGGACATGTTAGCAGACTGATGCAGGCACGGCCGACACAACTTATAGCTTTGCGGTAAAGGTATGTGTGGGCTTTAGGATTCTTTGGTGACTTGGACCTCGAAGATCACAGAAAGGCAGCAGCGCACTCCTGATGTGGTTGCGTGTCAAGAAATTCCTGGCACATGGCTCAGCCCACACTCTTCCACATACGAGAAAGGTGTTCCACACACATCATACGCCGGTGCTGGATGAGCCACTGGTTAGTTATACAGCTGTTTACAAGGCTCTACCAGTCATCAGGCTGCTCTGCATCATGTGGGTAGAGATGAACGCCGCACCCCTGCCTGCACCATCTACCACTCCAACTTCCCCCACCGCCAGACTTGTGAGGAGAAGCTGGCGGTGCTGGACGAGCCGATGCGTCACCAATTCGTCAACCTGAGCACGCAGTTCAGCACGTTCAGCGGGTGCGAGGCTCGCCGTCGCACGGACCGCGAGCCCACCTACGTCTGCCGCGGCAACCGCACCTTCTTCTCGGCCAGGGAGCGCTGGTGGTTCATCGCCGTCAGCAACTGCGAGTCGGAAAAGGTGGGACTCACACGCGGCCCGGGTCAGGCGCGGGTCACTGTAGCAGCCAGAGAGGCTGGGTCAGTAACTGGGATCGGTTTGATCGAGTAACGGGATCGACGCTTTGATCCAGGTTTCACAGTTGCAGCGGCGGAAGAGGCTGGCTGGGACTTGTGAACACGCGCTCGGGTGTGGGTCAATTTAACAAATCTAAGGTTTTCGGAAATCAAACGGTGCGACGCAGTGACGCAAATAAAAATCGTTTAGCTATCGACAGTCGAATAGCCGATGCTTTTGTATAAAAATGGATATGCTTCTTAAGGTTACTACCCTATGGAAGGTCCGACTCAGATCATGACTGTCAGCCGAGGAACGTTTGAGGAAATCCTCAAGTTGACACGACACCTGCATGTTACACTATGTCATACGCAACGTTGGGATTTTTGTAGTCAACTAGACAATTGAGATAAGGATTGCAACTAGTTCCGACGATCTGAGGTACAGGAATGAATGTATGGTCAATTTCAAAACGAACAACATTTTAAGGGAGAACTTGCTTTGGAAAAGTTTTAGACGCTTAGTTTGAATTCTTGTATCACAGCGATCTAAACAAAATCTTTTTCTACTTTGCAAAAGTCAGAAGATGTCGCTGACATAACACGACCTCGTTAAGCCTTTTGCTTAAGCATGCGGCTGAGAGCAGTTTTTGACAATGATTCTGAGCATCAATATCAAAACAATTTGAAAGTTTTTGATAATATTGAACTTATAAAAGGCAATGTAAGGTCACTTGCCTCACATAGCTAGATTTTACCCTTTTCATAAGTCAAGTGTCTAGGTTAAAGCTCTCTGTGTGAACAGGACTAGGTTACTTTAGATTCCAATCTCGAGTTTGATCTTACGTAACGGTAAATGAACCAAATGTCACGATATGGAGACTAAACAACAGACACTAATGAGCTCACATAAAGAGCTACCGTCCAGTTCATGTGGTGATTCTAGGTCTCTTAGTTTTGAGGTCTCAGGGGAAGGGCCGAATTGATCACTCCCACCTGAGCGTGTCGCATTCAACCTGCTACCGGGGCGCGTATTAACGTGTGGGACACGCCTCCCAGAGGCTCGTATTAACAGAGGGAGAGCTTGGGCCAGGAGCTAGGATCAGCAGCATACGGCCTAGGACTGATGGCCGAGATTATGAGCACTGGGCTGATGGTTAGCCCAGGCTGTGGTGGCCGAGCTTTTCGGAAAATGGAAGCATGTAATGGCGTGCTACAGCAGCCTTTTTTGTGACAGACCGTGGTAAATATTTGTGTGCATGCGCTGAGCAGCTGAGCGTCAGAAAAGCTGCTCGTTTTTAGGGCTACGCTCACCACCAGTGGTTGATTTTTTGCAGGGCCTTAGCCTGACTTACAACTTTCTTATGACCAACGGGCCACCTGACAGCCTTTGGACCTACCAGTTCTCGGCCGACGAGATGCGTAAGTATAACGCTATTCTGATCGGATATCGTCTCCAAAAATACTATCTCATTTGATGTTACTAAGCACGAGACGAGTACTGTATGCTCAGTTTTAGTATTTAGATGCCGTGAATCTATTACGACAACATCTTGCGTGGCACGTTGTCGAATTCAGTTTCCTGAATCAAATTCGAAAAGCTCCTCACGTACAGTGACAATGGTGAGTAGCCCTCCCTTCATAGAGAAATCCTCCGTCAGGCAATACAAAACAAGTAACTCGTTGAACTCCAGATTACGCTGAACATCTAGTCAGGAACATAACGCATTTCCTTGCTTTCCTCTACGCAGTGTTGTGAGCCTCAGCACAACGCTCGGCAACATTGCACACTGGGTATCAGGAGCTGACATGCAATAGCCCTGTCGGCGGCCATGCCTGTCACCGGCACGCGAAACGCCACCCAGGTGATTGGTGCAACAGTGCTCCATGAGGCCGTCTTCATATGCATTCCGATGTAATATATATTTGTTCTTGTTTCAGACATCCTAAGGACAAACATGTGCATGCTAGGCATTCAGACTGCAATTCTTTTCATAAGTATCGTTCTTGCAGGTAAGACGCAAGGTGTTGCCGTGTTTATCACGCCTATAGCTTATCTTCTATATTTGCTTAGCCACTGTAAACGTTAGCCCTGCCCTTGACATGACCGCTAGCACCGTTATTACTGGACGCTTTTAGCAGCTCACCGTAAGGCTCAAACTTATCCATGTGCCATTTGATATAAGCCCTTCAGAGAGATTGCTTTTATGGCTTTTGGTCGTCAGAATTTGTTAATCCAGCACTGTGTTGGTCGCACTTGCGAACTTAACAATGAGGAGCGTATGCGATGGGGGCAAATGGGACCAAACATGACAAAATTTGTTTTCGTCAAATGCGATATTTTCCCTATCAGGGGTCTACGCCAGGAGCGTGGCGCCTTACTAGCAGCGGCCCCGCTTACCTAGAGGCGGTGTGCACTCGACCCCCACCAGTCGCCCCCTCGTTCAGGGATGCTGATCTCTGCTGACCTGGCATTGCTCCTGCGCCCTGAAAGCGTCTTTGCTGAGTCATCCGTGTGCCGTCTGCCCCACTCCTGCTGGAGGCGCCTCTGCTGAGTCACATGCGTGTCGCCGGCAGCGGAGCTACGCTCCCGTGGTCTCTTCCACACCACCTACAAGTTGTTTATGGCGGCCGTGCTGCTGCAGACGGCCGGCCTGGTGCTGCTTTTCGCCTCCTACCGCTGCTACGCCAACGACGGCGAGGGCCTGCCGAAGATCAAGCTGGCAGGTACGGACCTCGCGGGTCTTGGCGTCGCGCACGCCGTGCGGTCGAAGGTGCCGGCAGCGTTGTTCAAGTGCACACCAGCACAGGCTGTGATGCGTGTGACCCACAAACGCGCCGGCACGATGGTGCTAATGGGGCTGCCTAAGCCAGCTCAGTTTTGATTCAGGATGAGAGCTGCTTGTGACGTACATGTGACACACACAGCCATCAATACAAATTGACTCAATAAGGCACCACCGGTCACTGATCTGACCAGTAAGTGGAGCGTGATAAGCAGTTAATGCGTGCCCCGCCGTTTTCTCCGCTTTACGTCATAGCTCAAATGTGACGGACGCTATGCAATTAACACAAAAAAACACGGCCGGTGCGATCGATATCATTTGGGGTTTTCAATCCATAAGAATGCCTGCGAGCTGACACATTACCGCCCCAAGGTATCCAGCGCAACATTACACCTTTAGCATTTTGGTACCCCTAGTAGCGGCGATGAAATATGTAACACGGTGTTCCGACAGGCCGGATCCTGGAGGCTGGCAGTGACTTCACGTTCCTGCTGCTGCTGCTTCTCTGCGCCAAGGGGTACACGATCACCCGTGGCCGCCTTCGGCAGGCCAGCGCCATCAAGCTGACCATCTTCTTATCACTCTACGTGGTCTCCTGGGGCATCCTATTCGTCTATGAGCAGCTGGTAAGATCAACATGGAAATTGTCGAGGAGATTGCGAATTGCCCTACAAAATCATTGACTGCGACCTGTGTGCTTTTATGCGAATAAGTTGTCACTGGCCGGCGGCCGAATAGTTGTATACTGTAATTAAGCTTCAGCGGGGATAGTCCACGTCTCTTTAATGTCCATTTAACCAGCTCCGTTGTATTACGCTAGGACATGCACATGCAAATGCTACACTGATGGCTACGTGACCGCCGAAGAGAATATCTGGAGCGATCGCTATCATTATGTTGCCACAGAAGTGCAACGTTCCAGATGCTTACGAGCATCGCGCCATCTCTTCTAAGCCGTATGGAATCGGTTGAATGTTTGGGCAGTAGAGTTGGCTATTGCAGACGGTCAGCTTTTTTAATATGCGAGCAACATGAACACATGCGAAAAGTGTTGTGTATCACTGCGGCCAACTTCAATGGGTTTTCATGAGGTAGTTTGTTCCTTCTTCATCACGGCGCCACAAATGGCCGCAGTCATGTGCTGATTCTGTGCGTGCATCAGCGACCACTCCTTAGATGTTTTTTTGCCCTGACCGGTGCTGTTAGAGCCCCGGTAGGGGCATCGTCCTCAACCATCGACAGGTGTCCCAGGATCGTCGGCGTGTATCGCTCGCGCGGTCCCCCGCCCCCCTTCACTTCACACGCGATCTGGAAATTACGCCGCCGCAGCCATCATGCCCGCCCGACGTGGCGTGGCGTGTGATGCGGCCATCAGCACACCACTGCGTGTCTTATTCTGGTGGGCTGGAGCAGTGGGGTCAAGAAAAGCCGCGTTAGTACAGCAAATGCGTGCCTTACTCTGGTGGCCGGACCGCCAGGGTCAATAATAGCCACTTTAGTACAACAGATGCGTGTCTTACTCTGATATGCCGGAGCAGAAGGGTCAAGAAAAGTCGCGTTGGAACAACAAATGTGTGTCTTTCTCTACTGAGCCGAAACAGTAGGGTCAAAAAAGCCGCGTTAGTACAGCAAATGCGTGCCTTACTCTGGTGGCCGGACGAACAGAATCAATAACAGTCACGCTAGTTCAACATATGAGTGTCTTACTATGGTATGCTGAAAGAGAAGAGTCAAGAATTGCCAGGTTGATACAAAGAGTCCATCATGACGGGGGAGGGGGGGGGGGGGGATATGAGATTATCTGAGAGAGGAATTTCATATGCACGGCATAATCGCTGGCCTACGGAATGCACGATTGGTACCGATCATTCCGATTCCCACGATCTGACGAGCAAGCGCAATTTAAAGGCTTGTCTTATCCTTTAAAAAATGTTTGCGGCTTCTTTCCCCACTGCGCATGTGCTGGCGTCCGCCACGGGCCGCGAGTGACAGCTGCACCCTGCCGGCGCCCGACCGAAGGCAGTGTGTGTGCTACCAGTGCCCAGGGCTCGACGGGCTCCGTGTTGCCACTGCCCAGGGCTCGACGGGCTCCCTGTTACCACTAGCCGGGGCTCGAAGGACTCCGTGTTACCACTGCCCGGGGCTCGAAGGACTCCGTGTTACCATTGCCCGGGGCTCGACGGACTCCGTGTTATCACTGCCCGGGGTTCGACGGACTCCCTGTTACCACTGGCCGGGGCTCGACGGACTCCGTGTTATCACTGCCCGGGGTTCGACGGACTCCGTGTTATCACTGCCCGGGGTTCGACGGGCTCCGTGTTACCACTGTCCGGGGCTCGACGGGCTCCGTGTTACCACTGTCCGGGGCTCGACGGGCTCTGTGTTACCACTGCCCGGGGCTCGACGGGCTCCGTGTTACCACTGTCCGTAGCTCGGCGCCCTCCCCTTGCAGTGTTCTCAGAGCGGTGGCATCAGCTCGAGCGGCGCGACTGGTCCTGTGTTTGACGATTTTTCTGGGTGATTAATCAGCCTCAAGATGGTGACCTGGGTCGCGCCGCTGAACCGGACGTCGGGGTATTTGTTTCCAAAACCGGAGTTCACACGGGGCCGTATTTCTCGGCCGTTGTGGGGGAGAGCCCTAACCTGAAGCTTGCCCCCCCCCCCCCTTCACCTGAAGCTGAGGACGCTGGACGCTAGCGTATCCTGTGTAGCCGATGGTGTCCGATGGAAGGGTTGTGCGACGATGCACGCGCGACATTCCGGATCACCTCCAGATTGAATCAGTCGATCTCACGCAGCGCTGTGATGAGGATGGCGAGTATGTCCGCCTGTGGCGGGAAGTTGTGCATGGAGCAAGAATGATGCGGGATTACCATGTCGAATGTGCATTGTGCTTGCTTTTTGGAACACCAGTGCACTCACAGCCTGATCTATTGCAGTTTTTCGACCCGGGCGAGGTCCTGTACCTGTACGAATCGCCGGGAGGCTACGGTCTGGTCGTGCTCAAGATCCTGGGCTGGGCCATGTTCGTGTACTCTACTTCCTTCACCATAAAACACTACCCAGAGAAGTGGGGCTTCTTCCTGCCCTTTTCCACCATGTATACAGTCTGGTGAGTTCTTATATGCGCCAGAGCAGGCTCAGGCATCTGACATGTGCCACAGGTGAATTTCCGCGGGTGCGCGGGTGAATGCTACGCGCTCGGGTTGGGTGGGAGACAAGTTGACACTCCCTAGATCTAAAAAAGCGGCGGGGCTAGAGACGAGACTTTCAGGACAGGTAGGGGGCTCTCAGAATTCCTTTATGAGGAGTTTGACATTTCTATGTTGTGAGCATCGGGTCAAACAACCTCCAGTGAAGCCATATGTTCTTGAATTCCAGCTGTACGATACCTTTGCTACCTGTACCTGAACCTGCGATAAATGCCACCAAAAACTTTGGAGTGGTCAGCTGTTTTTATCGCAACTAGCGCTGTGCTTGGGGTACCACGTATAATTCATTGTCATGGTATAATGTTTTTGATTATTTCGTGTGCATGTTTTGCGTCATATGGCTCTACCATTATGATCTAGAACAGTTTGAGAAGCGATTTAAGCCTTTCCATGCAAACCACTGCATGCTAGATATTATTTTCAGGCAATGAAAAAATGCATCTTCATTTCAGGCCAAGAACCTCATTTATGCCTTAGAAAATTTGGGACGGCGAGATTTAAATTGATCATTAAAATTCAATTGGTACTCGAATTTAAAATCATCATAAAGAGCAATCCCTTGATAACAAGCTGTGAAAATCGTCAAGTTACCTGTTTTAGAGAGCGAGACGCACGTCGTCTTTCACACCCCTTTCATGGAGCGCCAGCGACTGCAATGGTCACATTAGCTTTCAGGGGCCATGACGTAACCGGCATTCGAGCCTTGAACTTCCCACACGGGAGCGCATGGCGCCAACAATTCGGTCATTACGCCCCCTTAGTTATTTTAATCAATGCCATCTTGTATAGAAACTTTCTTTGACCTTTAGTAAGTTGATATAGACACATGTTAAATTCTTGGTCATAAATGCTTTTGAATAAGCGTCAGACCTTCATAGAGAAACAAAGTTTCAGGCCAAAATTATGCTTGGTATTGACCTTGATCCTCCCTGCATAGCTAGCCCAAGGTCAACGGAATTTGCTCGAACGATAATTTGGCTGTCTCATCATCTAAAAATGTTATCTACAATTGCAGAGCTTTGCCTAAAATTGCGTTTTATTAGTATGAAAGCTGCTCAAAGAATCGTTTTTACCGGCCACCTTTATCTATCTTTGACATACCAAGGGCTTATGACCAGAAAATATATGTTAACTATAAGATCCGCTACATTTGCCTACAATATCTAAATAATGTATAGCAATGCCAAGTTTGGCCTTGTTAGTCCGCTTGCTCTGAATTTTGGAAAGCCTTGAGGAGAGGTCAAATCGCTCTCCAACCTGAACGTGTGTTAACACACAGTATCTTGTTATGAATGACGTTTGCATGTTTGTAACCCAGCAGGCCGCGGCACAGCTGGGAACCACGTCTGTGATCCGTGCCTCTGCGCAGGTTTCTGTCCGCTCCCATGGTGATCGTATGCGCCAACTACCTGATCGACAAATGGGTGCGGGAGAAGGTGGTGAACGGCGTCGAACATGGCATCACCTTCGTCGGGCACATTTTCTTCCTGGTGCGTAACTTGTGAACAGGGGTGATGGTAGACCGAGCGTTCACATCGTCCATGGACCCAAACCATCATCAGCATCGGTGTCGAGATCATCAAGGATAGATTATGCAGACTTATATAGCACGTGCAGACTCACAGGATCATAGGGTAATAACCTAAACTTGTACTCTATCACAGTGTGCGATCGGCGGGGGTCATAGGTCATCCCCGCCTCACCCCCCCCCCCCACCCCCAACCCCGATCCACACACCCACTCACGCACACAAGCTGCGGATGGTGGCAAAACCACCGAAGCTGGCGGGTAGTTACGATCAATCATCGGTCCTGATTAGATGATGACTTGAATTTAGCCTCAAATGCCTCCCTGGTGTTACTGTTTAGTTTCATTTCCCTCCATTTTTGGCAACAATGTTCGATCAATCACCGTTACGACACGCAACGAACGCAGTGCTTCATGTGTGGATAGGCTAGCTAAAACGTCCCATGGAGGATCTAGTCTTGAATCAGGACGTTTCCATCACACTCACCCGACTTTGCAGATTTTGACTCGCCCTACCGCAGCCAACAAGAATTTTCCATTTCACGTCCGGACGTCGCAGATTAGCGTTATGGAGCAGATGCCTAACGGTATGTACATACATCGTCGGCATTTGTTGACAACTGCTGAGCAAAACTCCTTTCCCTTTTGGTGCCCCCAAAAATGTGTGTAGTCTTTAAACATTTTCAAAGCCATCTGCACTCCCCAGCTATGTTCGATGTTCGCGGCCTGCATGCGGACAACGAAAAACTTAAGGCATGTTTCAGGTTATCAACCAAATTTAATCACATACGTTATTCGATTTTTACATTTGACCTGAACTATGCTTTGCTAACTTGCTCTATGTTTTTGTTGCCACCGGTAGCCTGTCATGAACATTCGCACAGATCCAACGTGACCGTTCTCACTTGATGCGACTGATGTTACCGCATTCGCAAAGCATATTTGTGAGCCTAAAACAACACCAATATATACGTGCTGCGTGCTATTTTCTGCGTCTTGATGAATATGCAGTCAGGATGTATATATATATATATACACATATATATATATATATATATATATATATATATATATATCGTCTCACTGCAGAGACTGTGCAAGAGCTGCGGAACCGTGAAAACGTGTCACGTTCTACCATTAAAACATCGGGGGCCACCTTTTCTTTCGCAGTGATTATTTTCTGAAACCGAATTTTCGTGACTGTTGTACTGATATGCAGACGGTGGCTTGTAAGCAATGCACGTTATTCCTTGTCTAACGATCGCCAGGAACGGCTGGGAACAACAACCTGGACCATTTTTCTGCACACGCGTACGCGCCCAGCGCCCCGCTGGCGGTGCTCGGCAGCCAGCAGAGCACACCCACCGAACTGTTCGTCATCAGCACGTCCACTGAGAGGGTAACCGCTGGCAGCCGCTGAGCGGGGAGCAAGGACGCGTCACTTCGAGCAATTTTTGACACTTCTGCGAATAGCATCAAGTTCCTGAAAACGATATCCGTAAAATTTAAAACCGTGTGTAATGTATAAAGTTTGTTTCTTCGACAGATCGTGATGATAAATCTGTTTTGCACTTACCACGCTCAAGTGCCTCCGCAGGTTAAGAGCCTCTAAAGGCCAGTCCACATCTTGCGGACCATGTGCAGACGGCTACGTATAATGCAAAATCAGTCAGAACTTCTGGAGTCGGCCAGAAGTTGTGAGTTAGAGGGACCACATTTAAACCCCTCAGACCCGCCAAAAATAAGCAAAAAGAGCTCGAAATAGTACTTCTCTGGTTGGCAACACTTGGCAACTGCAAATTCTGCTGCGGCTTCTGCGGACCCAAGCTGCTGTCGACTAGGGGTACGACTTTTGGGCTCTGTTATTTGCACTTCGCGAGCCGGAAGGGCTTAGATGTGGCACCTCCAGCTTGCAACAGCTGACTGCCAGTAAGGCATGCTGCGGATTTTGCGGCCTATCTGCGAGCGAGAGCGGGCCTCAATGTCAATATGGTAAAATGATATGATCATAATGATGAGAATAATGATCACGATCATACTAATGATCTTGATCATAATAATGATCTTGCCAATAATGATAATGATCATAATGATAAGACTCATCCTCGTGATCGTTGATGGCATTAACGAAGTTCCTTCGTTCCAGCCCACGGCGAGCAATGGAAAGCCATACGTGAAGCAGGATGCCAGTTTTCCCCACCAGCTAAACGCCAACGTACGTGATGACTGACCCGAGACGGTTGGCACTTCATCCGAGACACAATACTTCCGCCAAGTTAAATAGTGAATTATTCCATGCATGGCTGCGTATATGGTACGCAAGGGCATCTTCAGAAGTATATGAACAGTAAAGTACGGCGTTATGCCATCACGTTATGACAATCATTACGGTCTGGAAAGCCTTGCTCTCGGTCACGCTGTTTCGCCAAACTCCGGACACCACAACGCGGACAAGTTAAGGAAAGCGGCCATGACGCCGTTTTCTTCGGACCGCATATCCTGTTTGTATTGCTTGCCACATATCCGATGTGGCAAGTTAGCTGGGACCGCTTGTGCCGGTCCACGTTTGCAGTCACTCCCATGGATATGTACAGTCAATTTGCACATGCCTGTGGTAATTTAGAAAAAAAAACTATCAGTCCCTGTGAGGCTATTTATGGAATGACAGCTGAATGTTCTCATGAACGGTCACACTGTGTGTTGTATTTGCCCATCGCACTATTTGTAGCTCGGATGTTCTCATTTTGCTACTGTCCACGTGAATATGGTGTCTGTTAACTGGCAGAAGGGTGTCATAGCATTGGTGGCGCAGGACGGTTTTCGTTGCCGCAGCGACTCATGGTCAGCATGAGCTGACATAGCCATGCTTGCGGAAGCTGTCTTTATAGGTAGAACCATATCTTTATAGAGAATCTATCCCTGTCTCGATCGTTAATTTAGTGCATTTATGCAGCGATATTGATTAACGCGATGTTTGCCATCTACGTTGCGCGCTACGCATTCGACGTTTTCAACATATTGGTGAAGCGTATCACGGCTTCACAAAAGTACATATAAACAAAATAGTGGTATTCCCATAGGACTATGAACGTGTCATGGTTCATGTTACAGTACGCTTTTAGCAGTACGCAGGCTGCAATCGTCTCGTTCCAGGTATGATGCAAATTCCTGCTCCTATTGGCCATGTGACCTGGCGTAACACTGCCGCGACTGACGCATGCAGCATTTGCTCTGAATGTTTTTTACATTCACCGTACCAAAATGGATTGAGTCTTTCTTGCGTGAAATAAATAGGTGTGTTCTTGAAGCCAGATGAGCAGCCCTGCAGTGTCAGGGCCAGCCCTGGCTCTGGGTCGAGATGACTGCGCGCAGTGCACGGTGTCAGGGCCAGCCCTGGCTCTGGGTGGAGATGACTGCGTGCAGTGCACGGTGTCAGGGCCAGCCCTGGCTCTGGGTGGAGATGACTGCGCGCAGTGCACGGTGTCAGGGCCAGCCCTGGCTCTGGGTGGAGATGACTGCGCGCGGTGTACGGTGTCAGGGCCAGCCCTGGCTCTGGGTGGAGATGCGCGTGGTGCACGGTGTCAGGGCCAGCCCTGGCTCTGGGTGGAGATGACTGCGCGCGGTGCACGGCGTCAGGGCCAGCCCGGCTCTGGGTGGAGATGCGCGCGGTGCACGGCGTCCCGTCATCCCCCGCGGGCGCGGCACACCGGCATGGGATGTCAACTGAACACACAAAAGCCTGCACCAGACCAGACCAGGGCCGCGGCCTGCGGCTGGCGCAACGCACACCCTTGATAGCACAGGACCGAGGAGAAACCACAGCGGCCAGACCGAGACGTTTTGTCACGATTTGCGGGGCCGTCACGTGAAGTCTGGGCGACTGTGCGGACGGGAACGCTGCCGAGAGTCTACATTTTGCATCCCGATGTCCTACGACGAACCTCCATATCATTTGCCTCTGTGAGGCCTGGTGAATCGACGGCTGCTCGCTCGGCAATGGCTTTACAATGGCGATGCCAGGGGTGAGAGAGCTTTCGGGGATATTAAGCTTCGACATAACGATGCAGTGGTATGGACACTGGTATGGTGATGGCAAGGGAAAGCACCATTTTATTTGTACTAAAAAGGGTAAGGTGTTTGATAAGTAGCAGGGAATACCACTCAAAAGTAATGAGAACGTCGTTCCTTGCAACAGAATGCAACGAATACCACGCCCCATGACGGTGGGACCGAGGCAACACACCAATCGACATTTTGTTTGTACCAATCGACACTTGACGCATGTTCGAGCCAAAATCGACACGTCTTGAAACGCAATAAAATCTATCAAGATTTAGACGGCTTCCCATAAATATCGCACGCATTGTTGACCATTGTTAATCTCTCACCCCTGGGGACGCACCGATTGCCGTTGGCTAGACACTCATCCCCTGTTTACACTGCTAAGGGATTTCTTAAAATGACCCCAACATGGTTTGCAACCCCACTTAAGCTTACCAATATGCCGTCCAAAACCCTTCTCCCTTGTTACGGCTTGCTTACGCTTCACCGAGCCATCTCTCCCATAACGTCAGTCGATGAACCCCAAAACCCCAAGTCTTCATCATCACCTCCCATAACGTGTAACATTAATGGACGGTCCCTATGTGACGAACGAGGACATCGGAGAGATTGTGCCGAGAGAAAATCGCTCCTCCTGAGACATTCCTAAGCACTCCCTAACCACTCCTAAGCCTATCTTGGATATCTTCTAAAACTATAACATACGCCTTTGTGTCGCCACTTTATCGTGGGACAGAACGCAGCTAACACAGGGAACGAATGGGCACAGAACCCTCTGGTGGGCATAGGTTCAGAACTTTACTGGTATCTGGGGCCATTGAAAGTGTATGTCCGGGCAATTCTCCCACACAACATCTTGTCTAATTTTTCCTTCCAGTTTTTTCATAGAAATTTTATCCAGTACGGGGCGGGAATGGTTTAAGAATCGCACGACTTGCAAATTACAGCTTTTGGTCTGTGAGATACTTAAACTGTAATATCCTCACTTTATACCTCAGTGCATAGATCAGTTACACTTCGACGGACTGTTTCAAGCGGTACATAGCTTTTTTGCGTCATGCAATGAAGTAAAATCGCGGTTGCCGTTTCAATCCAGCTATCCCGACCAGCAGCAGATAAGCCAATATGCCAGCAAAAGCCACCACCCACAAAGTGCGCTTTGGGGCGCGAACGCACACACTTGCGCTATATTATTTAGCAGCATCAGCAGGAATATGCGGATCTCATCAGCAGGAATACGCGGGTCTTATCAGCAGGAATATGAGGATCTCTTTATCACATATCTCACGTGCTTGCGTTGCATAGCAGAGCTTCCAAAATTTGGTTAAGTGGACTACAGGGACGGTATTTACTAGCACTTTGTTTCGTCCAGAGGAACGCGTGGCAAGGCTGAAGCATCTGCAGTTGAACCGTTTTCTCGCGATTTGGGTGCGAGGTACACAAGAACGTGCACAGAGAGGTAGGCAGGGAACTGATGAGTATGCTCGAACTTGAATGTATCAAATATTTCCACCCATCCCATACACAGCATGCAAAAAATCACCTTCAGTGGTCATTTTTATGACTATACACAAGCGCCGAAAGTATAGTATGGTTTAGAGCCGCTAGTGGTGTTGACAGCCGTAATAGACGGCGGTACCTGCAAGACTGCAACATCGATTCCAAATGCGACGCAAGCTAAAACTGAGGAGTCTGTCATGCGCATCAGGTGCAGCACAAAGCGTGCTCATAACAAGCTAAAATGTCCCAAGGTTATTAATTGTCATTAAAAGAGATTAACTTAACACATTTTGAAGGCAAAGATGAACACAGCACTCACCATGAAGCGAGCCCACGAGTCTGCCCTTAGTTCCCCCAGTCTCCAGGTGAGGCGCTACTGATCCCGTCCAAGATGGCAGCACTACTGACGCCACGGCGGTGCCGTCGCTACTGGTACGAGCTGCGTTGTCGTTGTCCTAGTGCTCGCCACGGACTCATCAGATAGCAGCACAACTCGTCCCGAGCCCATGGGCAATCAGCCGGATGCGTACACGTTTCTTTCATGGTATTTGGTCTGTCATGGCCCACCAAGCCGGCCTCTGCTCGATAGATGACATAAGCCAGGTCAAGCTATGATCTACAGTAGTATAGCTGCACTTTGGTTTGCACTTATTCATTAATACAGCGGATGACCAAAATTCACTAATTTAGCATATATATATATATATATATATATATATATATATATATATATATCTCTCTCTCTCTCTCTCTCTCTCTCTTTCTGGTCTGGGCAGACCTGCGTTGTCTGCCCAGACCAGACACGAGCGCTGCTAAACGACAACTGTATTATCCCGCGAAGCGAGCGGGCGGCGCCGACTCCGGCGGGTGGCGCCCCAGGCAGTACACCGCCATTCGGGGCCGCGGCGTACCAAAGTGCAGCAGCACTGGCGGCGCGAGCAGGGGCGGTCTCAGGGGTACGCCAGTAACATCATGATACATCTCCCCCCTTGAGGAAATGCAAATAAATGCATAATATGTAAAAAAAACGCTTGCGAAACGAAATTATTGGCGACAGACTGCTGCTTCCCTGCTGCTTCCCTGCTGCTGCTATGCCGCTTCTGAGGCTGCTGCTTCCCTTTTGCTTCTCAGACTGCTTCTCCTCTGCTGCTTTCCTGCTGCTTCCCATCTGCTTTCCTGCTGCTTCTCTGCTGCTTCTCTTTGATGCCTCTCAGAAAACGCGGCCACTGCGTGTTTTACGCGGACTAAAACTAAGCAGTGGCGTGGGATCTTGTGTCTGGGGCACTTGCGCGTTGCAGGGCTGGGCCGCAGCTTCTGTCAGCGGCGGCAGCGACGGCGGCGGCGCCGCTTTCGAAGCGGGCGACGGCACAGCTGGTGGTGGCCGTGGCACTACCGATCGTGGTGCAGGCGCCGGTTCGCGCGGCTGCGGTTGCAGCAGCGCCGGTGGCGCCACCTCAGCATGGCGGCCAGAGAGGAGGTCTGGAGCGGGCACCCTGTGTGCAGAACAGTCAGCACGCCGCGCGGAACCGTGCTGTGTCAACACCTGAAACGGAGGGATCTGCATCAGATGACGTCGGTTGCGACGATAGCGAGCACCCTTGAGCTCCATAAGGTAGCTGCGTCTAGAGAGCTTCTCTATGACGGTGGCGGGCTCGGACCAGCTTGCTTCCTTCTCCGTCTTGATCCGAACATGATCCCCGGGCTGTAGCTGCTGAAGATCGCGGGCACCGTGTCTCCGGTTGAAGCATGTCTCCAGCTTCTTCTTCCTCTGCCGATCTCGGAGTTTGGCATGCTGCCATGTCGCTTCTCCGGTTGGCTGAGCGATGGGGAGACGAGATTGAAGTTCGCGTCCCATCAGGAGACGGGCTGGGGAGTATCCGGTTGCTTCCACAGGCGTCGTGCGGTAGTTGAGGAGGGCGAGGTGGGGGTCCCTCTGGCGAAGTATCCACTTGGCGGTTCTCACGGCCCGTTCAGCTGCTCCGTTGGAAGACGGCGTGTGCGGGTCTGTGATGCGGTTTGTAAAGCCGTAGGACGCTGTGAAGTTGGCGAACGAGCTTGAAGTGAACTGCGTTCCTCCGTCTGTTGTCACGAGGTCTGGTATCCCCAAGCGGGAAAACAGGCACTTCAGACGCTCGATGACTGCGCTGCTGGTGAGACTCGGGAGGCGTTGTATCTCCAGATACCTGCTGAAGATGTCCACCGTGACGAGCCAGTTGCAGTTGTTGAAGTGGAAGACGTCTGCTGCAACGTGCGTCCACGGTCTTGATGGCGTTGGGGTTGTCACCAGTGGCTCAGCGTGCTGGGCTGGCGCGTTCACAGAACGAGCAGCTCTCGAGATGACGCTTCAGGTCGATGCTGAGTTGAGGCCACCAGATCGATTCTGCTGCCCTCTGGCGACACTTGTTCAGACCGAAGTGTCCGTCATCATGTAGTCGGGTGAGCATTTCATCTCGCAGACTCGGAGAGATGACG